ACTCTCAACTTTCAAAAAAATTTAACATACCATATCTATTATTGTAAGAAACTGTTCTGTCAATCTGAAGGCACACCGTTCAAATCTATCAGCTGCTCCACAGGAGAAAGTCAGGCAATCTCCAACTGTGCGATTTACTGCCTCCGAAAACCTGCTGGAGGGTGGACGATATTTCAATTCTGATTCAATGGTACTAAACAACAACAACAACATATCCATTCCAGGCATATAATTTATGAGCTTTATTACTGATAAAAGAAAAACAATAATGCCCAGATAATAAACATAATCATAATAACTAAAATTTACTGTTTTTAACTTTGTCAAAATACATAGAATACTCAATTTTATTCTTTTTCTTTTAGTTAAGGCAGTAGTGTGGAGCTTAGAAATAAAATTTTTTTAGTTGTAAAGCCCTTTTTACTGAGAGTTCTTTCCTGCTGTGAAGTAACTGCCACATACTCATTACATGCATCAAAATTACCAGTTTTCTTTGTGGTGCATCCATATGTAGGTACTACAACCTAAGATCTGGCTCAACTATTGACTCTTGTAATTTGTAGAAAGAAGTCTCTTAACACTCAACTAAGAAAAAAACACCAGTAGCAGTGAAAAGGTATACCTTACAAAAACCTTAGGGTTATGAATGAAAAGGCTTCTCTCGTGGCCTAGTGGCAAAGGAGCTGCACTGCAATCCCAAAGGCATGAGGTTCGAGGCCACTAACTGCTCTATGGGAGAAGGATGGGCAATCTCTTCCTGTGTGATTAACTGCCTCTGAAAACCTTCTGGAGGGTCAGCTATGGGTTGGTTCTGACTTGACGCTACACAACAGCAACATGTGAAATTGATAAGCTGTGGTGCGGAGAAAAGTTTTGAATGTCTCATAGGCTTCAAAAAAAACAGACAGATAGGTCTTGGAGAACGTACAGCCAGAGTGCTCCTTGGAGGCAAAGAGGACAATGCTTTGTCTCACTTACTTTGGGCATGTTGCTAGGAGAGGCTATTTCCTGGAGAAGGAGATGGAGCGGGTGTGCTGACAAAGAAGAGTGTCAACCAGGCTTGACACAATGACTGCAGCAGTGAGCTTGAGTGTGTCAGATTGTGACATGGGCACAGGATAGGACAGGGTTCATATCTGTTTTTAGAGTTTCACTATGAGTCGTGCTTGACTCAATAGCAACCAACAAAAACAATATGATTATACACCAGTATCTCCCTTAAGTATCTCCTAATCATATATCCACAAGAAGTCCATTCTATTCTAGAGTCCTTGTTGGTGAACAAATAATGGAAGGTCCTAAAAGAGCTCCAATAAGCTGTGTGCTAATTATCTAGGAATTAAGATATTAAAATGAAGGTCCAGTGGTGATTAATTTCATAAAACATAATGCATGAGAATAATTGTATAAAACACAATGTGAATGAAGAATAGCATGAAACACAACATAAAAGAACTGTGTAAGCAAATCAGGATATCCAGCTCCCACTGACCCACCAATTGCCAGTGGTTGAGGGCCTTGTCTTTCCCTGATGGAGTGACTGAGGAGTTTGAACTATTGAACCTTTGGTTAACAGCTGAATTTTTTTAACCACTACTCTATTGCAGTTCCTTCCAAATGGATTGAGAAATTATGGTACATTTACACAATGAAATACTATGCATCACGCAGGCACAACAACTTGTAAATTATAACCTAACTTGGGAGAGACTGAGGAGTATTATGCTAAGCGAACTAACTCAGTCCCATAAGGATAAATATTGCATAAGACTGTTACTGTAAAAAAAAGAAAAAAGACTGTTACTGTAGAATGAAAATAAGGATCCAGGAGGGGTGGAAGAGGCTAGAAGCAGAGGGATGTGGATGTTCAGGGGGAAGAGGGGATTAACCACTGGGTTGTACAATTTGGTGGGTAGGGGTGAGGGAAATTGAAAGAATTTGTTTAAATTTGTATTATAATTTTGTAAATAAACTAAAGAAAAAAGTCAACTTGGGAAGAGGGATGGGAAGGAGGGGCAAATTGTGCAACAATGAATGAA